GTGCTGAAAATGGTTACAGAAGATAGAGTATTACCTTTCTAATCTAATTTTTTTTTTTTTTTTTTGACAGGCAGAGTGCACAGTGAGAGAGAGACAGAGAGAAAGGTCTTCCTTTTTGCCGTTGGTTCACCCTCCAATGGCCGCTGCAGCCAGCATGCTGCGGCTGGCGCACCGCACTGATCCGATGGCAGGAGCCAGGTACTTATCCTGGTCTCCCATGGGGTGCAGGGCCCAAGTACTCGGGTCATCCTCCACTGCACTCCCTGGCCACAGCAGAGAGCTGGCCTGGAAGAGAGGTAACCGGGACAGAATCTGATGCCCCGACTGGGACTAGAACCCGGTGTGCTGGCGCCGCAAGGCAGAGGATTAGCCTAGTGAGCCGCAGCGCCGGCCTTAATCTAATCTTTACTAGAAGCCCTAAGTTCAAAGCAGGTCCTTTTTTAAAATGTATCCCCTCTTTTGCAGTTCTTACTGTAACTCTTTAATTTCTCTATTGTACTTATTTAAAGGTTCACTTAGATCTATTCCACAGTTTTGGCATCCTAACCACTGTTGTATTTGTAGCACATATTGAATTAAAGCTTTAATAACATTTATCTTTGTTTAGTGGGAAGTATACACCAGGGAGCCTGTTGCCTTTTCCACAAACAGCTCAACCATGCGTAAAGCATCACCCCTTCTTCTACACTAGCATTTGACTTGATTAAAATTCCACAAAGCAATGGACATTTGGGGGATTATGAGACTAAGTGTTCTTCCCTAAAATTAAGAATACAGCAATCATTAGCAGGACCACCAGGAAGCTTCGGCTTTCTTATGCAGAGTGTAATTCCCAACCCTAAAAACCACCAAGAGGACCACAGCTGTTGTTCTCACGCCTTGCTGAGACAGACCTTCTGCTGTGACCTTGTCAGCCAGCCAAAGTTGCCTTGGCCTTGCCATCATCTGATTGATGATGTTCCACAGACACCTTAGGCTCACTTTTTCTTTTCCTTCTGACTCTCAAATTCAGCAATTTCAATTATCCTACCTTCAAGTTTACTGATTCTTCTGCCTACACAAATCTGTCTTTGAATCTGTCTATTGGATTTTTCACTTCAGCTATTGTACTTTCAAGCTATACAGTTTCTTTTTAGCCCCTTTTAGGTTTTTCTACTTCATATTTTGATATTTCTAACTTGTGCATACATCATTGCTTGACTGTCTCAACAGCTTTAGTTCTTTGAGCATCTGTGAGGCTAAAGAATTTAAAGTCTTTTCAGGTCTTTTATGTCCCTGCTCCTTTTCCTGAGTATGTGCAATAACTTTCTACTTTCCCTTGTAAGTGTAGCTACTTTTCAATGCATTACTCTTAAATATCTGGCTTCCAAAAGGAGGAAGAAAAAAAAATAAAATTGATAGAGGGGAGGTACTGGTCTTTTAATTTCCTGGACTCTGCTTAAGCTAGAAGGAGAGGACTTATAACAGTAGAAGAAGATGCACAAACAATGGCTGGCCCCTCCCTCCCTAAATCCCCTCGATCAGAAGCAGCACATGGTGATCAGAACAGAGTATCCCAGTTTGGAAAACAGGATCCTTATTGCCCACCCTGGTTCCTAAACTTTTTATCTTTAAGGATTTATTTATTTATTTGTAAGTAAGAACTAGAGAGTGAGCGAGCGAGTGAGCGAGAGAGAGAGAATATCTTCCATCTTCTGGTTCACAACAGCTAGGACTGGACCAGGACAAAGCCAGGAGCCAGTAGCTTCATCTGGGTCTCCCACATGGGTGCAGGGGCCTAAATACTTGGGCCATCTGGTGCTGCTTTCCCAGGTGCATTAAGAGAGAGCTGGATCAGAAGTAGAGCAGATGGCACTGGAAGTAGAGCAGATGAACCAGTGCTCAAATGGGATGCCATCACTATATATGGTGGCATTACCTGCTGCACTACAGCAGCAGCCCTCCCACAACTTTTGTATAACATGCTCTTGCAACTTTTGATGTTGCCTGCAAGAGGAGTATGGATGTGGAAGTGGAAGTAGGGTAGCTGCTCTTGAGCTGAGTTAAAATGGACTAAAACTGTCTTCTGTTTACTGTCCAAGCTTTCCTCTGTAAAATGCAAGCCTTAAACAGAATTCAGAGTTCCAAAATGACCATCTGAAACAGATTCCTGAAGTTGAACTGTTTTCCAGGTGGGGAGATAGATTCCTAGTACTTGCTACTTCTCTACATTCTCAGATTTCTCCTCCAATACTTTATTGCTTTTTATTGCTGCTTAATATTCTATTTTGTGGATATATTACACTTATTCATCCATTCATCATTTGATGGATTTTTGAATTGTTTACATTTTGGAGGACTATTATGAATAATACTGCTATATCCCATTAATATTTGCAAAACCAAGGGGCAGGGGTGGTGGTATAGCAGGTTAAGCCATCACTTGGGGCTCCTACAAACCATATCTGGGTGCCTGATTCAAGCCTCTGATGCTCCACTTCCAAACCAGCTTCTTGTTAATGCACCTAGGAGGTAATAGATGGGTAAATACATGGGTACCTGCCACCCAGTGTGGGAGACCTGGGAGGAGTTCCTGGCTCCTGACTCCTAGCTTTGGCTTGGCCCTTCCCTGGCTGTTGCAGGCTTTTGAGAAGTGAGCCAGCTGCTGGAAGATCATTCTTTCTCTCTGGCTCTTCCTCTCTTTGTGTCACTCCATTTTTCAAATAAGTACATAAATCTTAAAAATATTTACAAGAGGGCCAGCTCCATGGCTCACTAGGCTAATCCTCCACCTTGCGGCGCCAGCACACCAGGTTCTGGTCCCGGTTAGGGCGCCGGATTCTGTCCCGGTTGCCCCTCTTCCAGGCCAGCTCTCTGCTGTGGCCAGGGAGTGCAGTGGAGGATGGCCCAAGTCCTTGGGCCCTGCACCCCATGGGAGACCAGGAGGAAGCACCTGGCTCCTGGCTCCTGCCATCGGATCAGCGCAGTGTGCCAGCCGCAGCGTGCCGGCTGCAGTGGCCATTGGAGGGTGAACCAACGGCAAAGGAAGACCTTTCTCTTTGTTTCTCTCTCTCACTGTCCACTCTGCCTGTCAAAAAAAAAATTAAAAAAAATATTTACAAGGGGCTGGTGCTATGGCTCACTTGGTTAATCCTCTGCCTGCAGCACCGGCATCCCACATGGGCGCCGGGTTCTAGTCCCCGCTGCTCCTCTTCCAGTCCAGCTCTCTGCTGTGGCCCCGGAGGGCAGTAGAGGATGGCCCAGGTGCTTGGGCTCCTGCACCCACATGGGAGACCAGGAGGAAGCGCCTGGCTCCTGACTACATAGGTGCAGCGCCGTCCGTAGCGGCCATTTGGGGAGTGAACCAACGGAAGGAAGACCTTTCTCTCTGTCTCTCTCTATATATAACTCTACCTGTCAAATAAAAAATTTACAAACGCATTTATAAATTTGGGAGGCAGTTGTGAGAGGAATAAAACCTTAAACTGGGAGTTCTGAAAACTTAGATGTACTTCCAGCTTTGCCAGTAACTCTATATTCATCAAAAGAGATTTGACTAAAATTTATTTAACTTTTTACAGTCAAAAATATTGGGGGTGGGGAGAAGGGCCTCTTTTTCAAGTATCTGACCTAAGACTGAATCCTTAAGCAATAGAAATACCAGTTTCAGAACAACTATAAATTCTGCACTATATTTAGGAAGTGCACCCAGTATTGGAATTCATTTTAACCCCAAGTCTTTTTCAAAAAAGAGGTTTAGTTTACTTTATAGTTTGGAAAGTACATAAAAATTCAATTTTACATTGCCTCTTTAGAGAAAAGGCGCTCTCCATACCAAGTGGCAGAAAATCCATTCATTAATAAACAATTTTAAAAGAATCTGAGCACTCTAGATTGTATTGAGGAAACATTTCCAACTTACCCACTTCTTAATTGTGTCTGGCTCAGATGGGTAGTTTCTGAAATTATGTCATCTGTAGCCACAATAAAATGTGCCTTGCTTTCTCTTTATACATAAAGACATGAAGAGGGATTTGAGAAAATTCTAGTGGTCCATTTTGACATCCTTGAAAGCTGGAGCAAGAATCAACTTCCAGAACTGGCATTTGTCAGCGGTTAAGTTGCCGCTTGGGACATCACCCAGTGCCTGGCTTGGATCCCAGTTCTTCCGTTTTGCAACCAGCTTCTGTTAACACGCATGCTGGGAGGCAGCAGATGATGGCCCAAGTACTTGGTCGCCTGCCACTCACGGGAAAACCGGATTGAGTTCCGGGGACTGGGTTCCCCTGGGTGTTTGCAGGACAGGTGGCGAGTAAACCAGAGCATAAGAGCGCATGCTCGCTCTCTGTTTCAAATAAAATGGGGGAGGCGGACGGGGAGAATATCCTGTTTCCTTTGACAGTTTTCATGGATAAATAAAGATTTGTTTTTTGATTCAAATAAAACAGCCGAGGATCAAAAACACGGCAATGATTTAACAATGTGCTAATCCAGTAGCGAAAACTGAAACTTCTTTTGGACGTTGACGGGAAAGTAAACAAAATATGCCTCTAGAAGTTGTCCTAACAAATTGCAAACCTGGTGAGTCAGCTGCACGTGGGAAAGAGCGCAGCCAAGACGGGGATACCTCCCCAGCCCCTATGGAAAGCCGCGAAAATCCCGCGAGATGTGTGCACGGCTCGGCAGTTGCCTTGGCAACAGCGAGCCCAGGTGTTATCTGTAAGCGCCGGACGAGCGCCAGGTGGGGCTAGTGCTGTCGGGGCGTCGTCTGCGCCTGCGCGGGCATACATCGCCCGCGTAGCGAGAGAAGCCCGGATGGAGGACTCGGCGCCGCGCCGTTGCCATGGCAGCCCGGTCCTGGCTGCCGCGGGCGTAGCTGCTGGGGTCTTCCATGCCTCCTTGTCAGAGCTTAGAAAGAGGAGAGGAACGCTGCCCCGGCCATCTCTGTGACCCCAGGCGCTGCGTCTCACACAGGCAGGAGGGGATGGAGAGGGCGAGAAGGGAAGGAACTGTGGAGATGCCTGTGGTGGGAGAGAGGGTAAAGGGAAAGGCTGGTGGGCAGAGCTGCGAGGAGCCCCTCCGGCCGGGCTCTGCGGGCAGCCTGACGGTGTGTGGAGGAAACCCGCGCAGGGAAGCCCAGACTCTACATTTTGGTCATAGTCTCAGAGTTCTCGAACGGGGAGGTCATAATTTCTGTGGAGAGGCTGCGGCGTCTCCATTTCGTTGTGGTACCTTGGGATTCTGAGCACAGATTCCAAGGATCACCCAGTGTCTGTGAGATATTGATCGCCTTACGTTGTGACAGGTTGTGCTTTTAAACTATGTAGGATCTCAGTGTTGCAGAATACCGCCGGAAGAATGGGCCAGATGGCCGCATGATATTGAGGATTAATTTTTGCTGAAGTATTTATTTTATATTAAAAGGGTTGTTTTTACATTCAACTCTTAGTTTTAAACATGTTTATAAGAGTGTAAGATAAGAAAGCCAATGAGTTAGGTTAAATTAGTTTTGAGTATTCTGAATTCCGATGAAAGCTGAATTATGTTTGCATGTGGACGGGCTTCCATTCGCCCTGAAAGGTCTGCAGTCGCCTACCCACGGAGATTTATCAGACGCTCAGAGGAAGGAATTAACTCTGTCTCTCACTACAGATCTGTTAGGGTGGATCTGCCCCCAGCCACTTAACATACATATTCACTCATGTTGCAACTAAAATGTGTAAAGCTCACAGTAATAAAATAGGAAATAAGTATTAGGTGATGTGGTTCGCGTGAGATATTTTTGTCCCAGTGAGTTGACTGTATACCATATGGCCAGTACTCTGGGGATGAAGATTAACCGAAGTGAAGGTGTTGGATATCCTGTGACGCATTTGAAAAAGGCTTAGCAACTTGGTAACAAGAGTTTATGATTTATGTTTGTTTACTTGAGAACCAGTTACGAGGATTTTTTTCTTTTTTTTCTTTCTTAAGTTACAGGAAAAGAATTACACTTCAAATTTGTTGGAACTTCATCTCCTTCTCAGTTACTTCAACCATGGCTTTTTTTTTTCTTTTAAACTATGACATAATGTGGTAAATTAATACCACTTAATATGCTTAACTTATAAATTGTTTTTGTCATATTGAGTCCACGTCTTTGTTTTAAACTTGAGTTCTCACGTGGGTGAAGTTCTTGATAAACAGTAAAGTATATCTACTAAAGACTTCCAGGCAACCTTATTTACAAGTTCAGCAGTATGTTTATTGCAAAATCAAGCGAAGGCACCGAAGTTTCCAAAGAAATCTTCTGACAGTTACATTTAAACATCTTAAAATAATACATTTCAAGTTCCTGGTCTGAAAAGAAAGCCAATAATCCCAATGCTTTTTGACTGTGAAAAATAGTATTGATTGGGTAATTGTTTTGAGATAGAGTGAATTTTAGTTGCACCATTCAAGGTGTCCTTACTTTCAGTTGATAGGGTGTTAGGTAAACACAACAGCCTAAGTGCTTTAGCCCATCTTGTGGCTATGCAGTAGTAAATAAATTCTTCCTAAAGTATTGATTTGGCTTCTCCAGCTCACCTCAATGTGTTACTGTCCTCAACCTCTGATTTAGAAATTATTGAGGCCTTACTTTTGAATTCTTTGAAAGTCTGTATGGTATTTTTAGTTAAAAGAAATAAATATTTAGAATGAATTATAGTCTAATTAATATCTTAGAAATAATAGTTATCCACTTTAATAATTAGATGAATACTTAACAATTTTATTGAGTCAATTTTCTATTCTTCCTTTCATTGTTTTTTATATATACCTTTATTCTACATTTTTATTTATGCTTTTATTTAGCTTTGCCTTGTCTCACAGACTGTTGCAAATACTAAGGGTCTACTTCAAAAATCGTTATGGGAATATTATATATATTTATGTGAATATAGTAAGTGTTTAACAAATGTTTGTCAAAATTATATTTTTATGTGTATATATTGTATATACGCAACATGTACAGTCACATTATAGAAAAAGATGTACATGCTTCATATATTTGTAAAGTTATGCACACAGAAAAATTAGGGCTGGGAACTGACCTTGATTTTGCCATAATTAGAAGCAGTTGTTATGTACTGAAAAGTTCTCAGATCACAAATTATAATTATGCCATATAAAGCACTAGAAGGACTGTGAAACTGGGAATAGGAATTGATATAATCATTTTTGTTTGAACTCAGGATAATTTAATTGGGTGAGATAAACAATCGAGAAAATGTTCTCTAATCTGAAAAAAGAGCTGTAATAGTTGTCAAGGAATGTGAGAAACCCTTCTCTAGATCTTAAATAGTCTTTTTATCCACCTTTTAAAAGTCTCCTTGTAGATAAAATTTTTGGAAATTAGGCTGGGAGGGCGGTGGGAAGGAATGAGAGGATTGTTAGAAATGTCCACCTATGAAAATGTTTTACCATTGCAAGTTTTTCTTTCAGGGTATGTACAGAGATATGTTTATTTTGAACATTGCGTGTTTTGTGTTTCTTACCTTTAACATTAGGCTCTACATCCCACCTATAAAGTGTACTTAACATATACCTTATCTTTTAAAATTGTATAGCATCACTCTTTAAGAAACAGAAAATGAATGAAAATAAAGATTTTGATTCAAAAGAAAGTGAAGAATATGAAGATGACTTTGAAAAGGACCTGGAGTGGTTAATTAATGAAAAAGAAAAAAGTGATGTCAGCATAATAGAGGTATATATAAATTGCCAACAGCATGCATGATTGATTACATTAACAAAGTGCTTTGCGGTTCTTGAAGATTTTTATCTATATTATCTCATCTGAATGTCACAAAATTCTTTTAATACATTGGACAATTACCATTATATCCATCTTTGAAATGAAAATCCTGAAGCATAGGGCCAGTAAGGGAGAAAACAGATGATTAATTAGCACTTAATAAACCTAAAATGATAATTATAAAGTTGTAATTTAAATGATATAAATAAACCATAACACCATAATTCATTAACATCAAAGATAAAAACAAATACAGTTAACTTTAAGTTTTTATGAAGTTACATAAAATCATAATATTATACTTTTAATATAAATGAAACAAATTCTAAAAAACATGATCTTTCAGGTAATATTTGAAGCTGCAAGATTGAATTAGATTTTTAGGGGAATGAAAACAAAAAAATAAAGGGCTGAAGGCTTGAGATATCAGAATTTCTAGGGAAAAATGGATTTATTACACATGATCACATAGTGTTTATCAGAGATGTAGAAGGCAAATCCAGAACAGTGAATCAGTTCTTGGATTCTTGTAGGTTCTTTCTCTTTTTACATGTACATGATATATATTTGTGTTTATATATAATATGCATGTGTATGTAGGTGTATGTATATGCATATATATATACATATATGTCAGATTGGTGTCAATAAGTAAGGAAGGAATGAAGAAAAAGACTAAGACTGGGCTATAACTAGGTCATTAGGGTTAGTGACCAGAGCAGTTTTCTGGCAGAAGTCAGATTTAAGGGGCTTAAGGAAAGGAAAATGAGGAACTGAAGGCAGCAGACTTTACGTCACAAATTTCTCATTGCTATATCTTGCTTTATTATGCAATGGAGAAGACAAATGGGATGGATAATATTTGAAAAAGGACTTAAAAGTGAGTTTTTTCTAATGTGGCTTTTAATAAATGGGAGTTTCATGCATCTGAGAAAATGAATCAGAATTAGTAGAGGCAGAGATATCTAGAGTGGTAATTCTGAATCAAGGTATTATAACTAGAAGGGTATGAGATCCAAAGCATAAGGAGATAGAATTTTAAAAGTAACAATGATGATTCATTGTTTCACTCTTATTCATTCAACAAATATTAATTGTCACCTACCAGATGTCAGGGGCTGCCTTAGCTTTTTGAAGTACAGCAAGGATCTAAACAATGTGTTCTGTTCAGTTCTGTACACTCCAGTGAATGATTTTAATAATCTTTTTCTTTGATACTGGTGGTAAAAAGGTATGACAGGGCAAGAGGTAAGAGAAGATCAGGGGCAGATTTATTTGTTAAAAAGCGTATTTTAAAAAGAAAAGAAGTGAAAGCCAAAGGAGAATTCATAAGCAGTTACTGTAGGAATCAATCAGAGAATCAAATCAGGCTATAAAAGACAATCGCAATGCTGAGATCTTAATTAAACCATAGTTATTTGGCAGTAATTTTCATGGGTCAGGTTTATTTGCTTATTGAACATCTAACAGTGTTTTGTAAGTTAGGAAATGAACGCTATCAGAAAAGATGACTTGTGAACAATTAAAAGGAAAATGTAATTGTAAGGTGTTGCAGAGAGCAGTATGCAGTAGCTCCCATTGAACTGAATTGTCTGAGAAGGAAAGAATTCCGTGTTGGAGAGTAAAGTGTCTGGTAGGTGGAGTACGCAGGTGGAAGAGATAAAAAATGTCTTTAGTTAAAGCAAGGTTTTATGATGCAATATGGGTTATGTGGAATTACATTTTTTTTAAAGATTTATTTATTTATTTGAAAGAGTTACACAGAAAAGGAGAGGGTGAGAGAGAAAGAAAGAGTTCTTCATCCGCTGGTTCACTCCCTAATTGGCTGCCATGGCCGGAGCTACGCCGATCCGAAGCCAGGAGCCAGGAACCAGGAGCTTCCTTCAGGTCTCCCACATAGGTGCAGGGACCCAAAGACTTGGGCCATCTTCTACTGCTTTCCCAGGCCATAGCAGAGAGCTGAATTGGAAGTGGAGCAGCTGGGACTCAAACCAGTGCCCATTTGGGATGCTGGCACTGCAGGTGAGGGCTTTACCCCTTACACCAGAGTGTCGGCCCCAGAATTACATTGTTTTTAAAAGAGGAAGGCCAAGTTACCTGATGGTGGTTAGTATGGATTATTGTTAATCTCTGAATACAATGGAAGAAGGATAATCTGATCTATGGCTTAAAAACTAACCTGGAATTTTGGTTATTGGCTTTGCAGATCACAGCAGCAGTAATAGTCTGAGGAGATTAATAGAACCTCAAATGATTAGTACTTGACCAAAGGACTCTACCTTGAAATGGTTTTGGGAGAAAGATGTTTTATTTATTATTTATTTATTTATTTATTTATATATTTATTTATTTATTTTGACAGGCAGAGTGGACAGTGAGAGAGAGAGACAGAGAGAAAGGTCTTCCTTTGCTGTTGGTTCACCCTCCAATGGCTGCCGTGGCTGGCGCACTGCGCTGATCTGATGGCAGGAGCCAGGTACTTATCCTGGTCTCCCGTGGGGTGCAGGGCCCAAGCACTTGGGACATCCTCCACTGCACTCCCTGGCCACAGCAGAGAGCTGGCCTAGAAGAGGGACAACCGGGACAGAATCAGGCGCCCCGGCCGGGACTAGAACCCAGTGTGCCGGCGCCGCAAGGTGGAGGATTAGCCTAGTGAGCTGCAGCGCCGGCCTGGAAGATGATTTTTTAAAAATACAAGTATTACAAGGAGAAAGTATTTTCTTCTGGATATGTAAAGGGAGGGAAATTTCAGAGGGGGAAGAATATTAAAATCATGTGCTATTTGCAGTTACCTTTTGTTGTATTAACATTAAAATTTTTTAAGAATTGTAGTGCTTAGCATCACCAAATTCAAATTTAGAGCTAAATTTTCCTTGGACTGTTGTCACATACAGTTCCTTTGGGCTATTCATAAATATGAGCAAAATATGAGCACTTAGATTTTGTTATTTTAAATTAAGTTACATTAATAGGAAAATTCATTCTGTACAGTCCACATACAAATGAACTAAGAGTCTCAGTTTTGTTGAAAAACAGAATTTCATCCTTTTTTTTTTGGTAGATGGCTTATGAGAAGGAAGAAAATGTTATCCAAGAATTAAAAAAGAATGAAACAGAAATAGAACACACTGAACAGGCTTCTGATTATGACAAATCTTTGAAGGCTGAAGCTTCACTAAGAAGAAATGACTTCATTTCTGTACCAAGTAGTCAACCTTTAGATCCAATATCAGATACAGATAGTGAAAACTCTTTCCAAGAATCCAAATTAGAAAGCCAGAAAGATCTGGAGGAGGAAGAGGATGAGGAAGTAAGGAGATATATAATGGAGAAAATTATACAAGCTAACAAAATTCTACAGAGTCAACCTGTGAATGATAAAAGGGAGAGAAAACTTAAGTTCAAAGACAAATTAGTTGATCTGGAAGTTCCCCCACTGGAAGAAACTGATAATTACAAAAATTATTTTGAAAATGAAAGTAATATGTATGGAAAACTATCACAGTTATGTATTTCCAGTGAACTTGGACAAGAAAATGTGCTCTTGTCAATTACTGATGGAAGCTGTGAAGAAAACAAGGATAGGAAGATACTGGTAGAGAGAGATGGAAAATTTGAACTTCTGAATTTACAAGACATTGAGAGTCAGGGATTTTTGCCCCCCATTAATAATGTTATGAATACAGACAATGAACCTCAGCAGTTGTCACTCAGATCCTCCAACTCATCTGTCAGTGGTGCCAAGAAAGAAGAGTCTCCAGTGGCCAGTCATGCTATCACTCACTCATCAGCAGGAGAGCCAGTAGCTTATATCCCTCAGCCACTACCCAACCCCAACACTCGCCCAGGCTCTGTTGCCTACTCAGATCGCAGTAAAGGGAGTTGGAGATCTAATAACAGGACACAGTCTGCAAATATATCTCCAGTGACCTCAACATACTGTCTTTCCCCTCGACAGAAAGAACTGCAAAAACAGCTGGAACAAAAGCGAGAAAAGCTAAGGAGAGAGGTAAGAACATAAGTGGACACTGGTATTGAAAGTAGAGTATGTTTTCATGTGTTGCAGATGCATTTAGAATCAAGATGATTGTTCAGAGTACTGGAGATTCTTGCTTGCTTTATTTTTCTATTGTTGGGTTGTTAAGAATGTGTATTTATGGAACAAACACTGTAATTGCATAGCCTTTTTGTTAAGTGTCGCTCCCCCTCTTCGTGGAGGAACGACACAGGACCCTGCGCTGTTCTTTTGTCTGCTCGGCCCTCCCCGGGTTTGCTGCTGGTTCTTCCCGGGTTGGCTACTATCCCTTCCACCTCCGTGGAAGGGCAGTTCCCCCTGGCCACATTCCCCACTTCCGCAGGGGAGCGGCACACCGCCGGCCGGCTTTCTTGGGGGCTGCACAGGCGTTCCCTCAGATGTTCCCCTTAGATGTTCCTGGTGCATGCCGTCTCTCTCCTCCTTTATAGTCCTCCTCCGCCAATCCCAACTCGGCTGCCCACACGCCGAGTACGCTGCTCTCCTCCAATCAGGAGCAAGTCCTACAGTTTATTAGTTGAACTGGAGGCAGCTGTGCGGAAGCTGTTTACTTCTCTCCCAGCGCCATATTGTGGGAGAGCAGATGCATAGAATAAGTCTTAATTCCAGTAACTCAGTCCAGTCCGGATTGCTCCCCACATTAAGGATCACATAGTAGAATGATCTGGAAGAGCTAGAGCAGATGTCAGTGATTACTTCATCTGATCTTTTCACTTTAAAGATAAAACTCAGTAAAGTCATGTGACTGCTGACAGTGGTCCAACAGTGGGTGAAACTCAAATGTCAGAGGAAAAATGAGAGCACAAGGTTGTTAGGATATAGAAGGTGACAGGTAGACTAATTCTCTTGTGTGTGTGCTTGATCTATCTTCAATATCTGCAATTCCTTGGCTTCAGGGGTTTTTTATGTTAGAAAATAGCCTAATATTCTTAATGGAATATCTCCAAAATCCAATATGAAATCCCAAATTACATTTTCATTTAAATTTAATTTTATAAATGAAAATTTCAGGTACTTAAATGAATGAGTTTTATCTCAATTACCTGTATCAGTGCCTCAATTCTCTGTTTTATTGGATTCCTAATGGTATTAAGGTGAATCGAACATAATGCTTAACAATAAATGCCAAACCTTAGAAGAATCACAGCTTGGTAGAACTTTACAATTAGAAGAGACCTTGGGGATCATTTTGCAGATAAAAATAACTATAGTCTTGAAATTTTAACTGACTTTACCAAACTTGGTCAATTTGTTAGTGAGATTTTGGAATCAAAATTTCAGTTTCTTGCATCCACTGAGAAATGGTATGTTTTCCATTTTAGATGGGAGATTATCAGGGAAATTTCTGACATTTAATTTAAGAGTTCATATTAGCAGAAAAAGATGAAAAGTGAAGTTGTAAGACTGTGTAACTGATCACATACTCAGGCAGGAATCTGGCAGTGTTTATGCTTTGTTTAGAGCTTTTCTTACTTAGCCACTAAAATCTAAACTGTCACAGTCAAACTCACTATATTTGGCTCTGGTATAAAACAGTCCTTAAGAGCATCAGAACTTTTTGATTATACAAAATTTGTGAGAATGACTGAAATATGTTTTTGCAAAATTATTCAGCAGATTTCATGTAAATTTTAGTGGCTTTTTACTAGTCTTTAAATAGTGTGAATGATGGACAGTTCTGTTTTTGTCTTGATTCTGTTTTCTCGGTGTCACACCCCCTTTGTTCTGAATTATATTTTTGTTGTGACAGGATTCTCATAATTAAATATCCTTTGGCTCAAGCCGTGGTCTTTTAAGTGCTAAGTTTTTTTTTTTATTTTTTTATTTTTTATTTATTTTTTTTTTGACAGGCAGAGTGGACAGTGAGAGAGAGAGACAGAAAGAGAAAGGTCTTCCTTTTGCCATTGGCTCACCCTCCAATGGCCGCCGTGGCCGGCGCACTGCGCTGATCCGAAGGCAGGAGCCAGGTGCTTATCCTGGTCTCCCATGTGAGTGCAGGGCCCAAGGACTTGGGCCATCCTCCACTGCACTCCCTGGCCACAGCAGAGAGCTGGAAGAGGGGCAACCGGGCCAGAATCAGGCGCCCCGACTGGGACTAGAACCCAGTGTGCCAGTGCCGCAGGCGGAGGATTAGCCTATTGAGCCGCGGCGCTGGCCTAAGTGTTAAGACTTTTTAACATTTTTTAGTTAATTTAGGGAAAAGCTTTGCTTTTCTGTATAATATACCTAAATGTTCCCTTTGGAAAGATAATTCCCTTATACTGTATGTATTTGTGCAAGGCTTCGAAAATATTTTTCCAATATAAAGTAAATGTGTAAATAAATGTAAAATTTAATCTTTAATAAACATTTTATATGTGAATAATACATTAGGGCTTGGAAATATGTCTCTCTATCCTGATAATTCATGTAACTCATATACTTACTTATATTACATTAAGATTTTTCATGTTCTTTGCACTAGGAAGAACAACGGAAAATAGAAGAAGAGAAAGAAAGGAAAAAAGAGAATGATGTAGTATTTAAAGCATGGTTGCAAAAGAAAAGAGAGCAGGTTCTAGAAATGAGGAGAATTCAACGAGCAAAACAAATTGAAGACATGAACAGTAGAGTAAGTAAAACTTTATGGAAATAACCTCATGCAGATGTTACTTGAACTTATTTACAGGAGGGAGTTTGAATATCAGTAAGAACCTGTGGAAAGAGTAAAGTGGTTCACAGACTACCCCTGTGAAATATTTAACATGCAGGTAGTGTTACAATTAAGTTCTACACTTGATCCTAGCCAAAAGGCTGAGAAGTGATGAAATTAAGTTCTAAGTAAGCTTGTACAAATAAAAGGATTCATGTCTTCAACCTCATAGCACAGAAAATAGAAAACTACTAACTCAATTTTCAAGATCAATAACTTTGATATTCAAATAAGATGAAGATATATACACACACACAGCACATCACAAAACCTATAGACTGATCCACTTAGGAATAGACTTATAGAAAGCTTACATAAAAGCTAACAAATTAAAGACACCAAATTATTTAGTTTTTTGAAAATTTGAGAAACAGAAAATTCAAGAGGGAGTGTGTTAATCCATATCCTCATTACTTAAAAATATATGTATAAAGTAAAAATTGAAAATTCAATCCTCAGCTTTTCTAGATTCATCTCCCGTTGATAACCATTTTTAGAAACATGGTACAAACTGTCCCATTTTATTATGTAATTTCCCTCTTCAGTTACTTAATCTCGGACATCTTCCTAGGCCATTACATTTAGATCTCTGTCTTCTTACTAGATGGTGTTCCACTGTTCATTTATTAAACCATTCCACATTTGTGGACATTACCCTTACTCCCAAACGTGGGCCCTTTGGGGTTGTAATTGGATATTAAGGCACTCAATGAGGTATCTTCCCTCTGGTTGAGCCAGAACTGTAATGTCTCTCAGAACTGTGCAACCTCTGCTATCTTCATTGTTTGCAGCAGCTTCTCTTTGCTACTCCCTGTAGGACCTCACTCTACACATGCACAGATCAGTTCTTGCCAAGGCCAAAGGGAAATTCTGTAGAGATTTATAGAGATTGATTCTGGATGACTCCTTCCTTTCCAGTACCCTATGCTCAGAATACAGCTATCCTAACATTCCCAAACTCCTGGCTCTGTTTCATGAGCCCAGTGAAACTGCTAATTGCTATATGATATGGCTTCCTCTACCTACACTATGGTCAGGAAAGTGCTACCACATAGAGAGAAAGGGTGAGTATCAGGCTTATATCATGTATTTTTATTTCTCTCAGCAAACACAGATGCCATGAATATATATATGAAATTTGGTTAAAATAGCTGATTAGGCAGAAGGAGAAGTTTGATACCAATCATTCATCATGACTGGATGCAAAGTTACCACTTCAAAGTTTTTGTTCTTTTTTTGTTATAATCCAAGAATTTAATATAGTTATAATTATTTTTATAATATTTAATCTATATTCTGTATTCACTCCTAACTTCTTTCTATCTTGGTTCTCCCACTTACTATTGCTATTACCTGTGTAGTGATTTTGATGATACACTTTTAAATTCTGCTTTAACTTACCTTAAATTTTAAAAATTGATACTCTTTAATCTTTATTCAACTAATATAACAAAAAAAGAGATTCTATTCCTCCTTGGGATTATTCTCCTTGGGATAATCTCAGATTATCATTCCCATAATTTTATTTATTTATCAATTTTTAAAAATTTTCATTTTATTTGAAAGGTAGACAAAGAGAGAGACACAGAGAGATCTTCCATCTGCTGGTCTACTCTTGAAATACCTATCCTCAACAGTCAGGGATGGGCTAGGCTGAAGCCAGGAACCTGAACTCAATCTGGATCTCCTATGTGACAAGGACCAAAGTATTTTAGCTACCAACTGCTGCTTCTCAGGGCATTAGCAAGAAGGTGAATTCTAAATACAGGAGCCAGAAAATGCACTAGGTACTCCCTTAAGTGATACGGGCATCCTAAGCAGTGTCTTAACTACTGTGTTAAACATCTACCCATTCCCATCATTTTAAATTAAAAAAAAAATATATAATCCTTGCAAGTAATATCTTAAAAATACACAGAGTATTTTTATTTTTTTAACTTTTATTTAATGAATATAAATTTCCAAAGTACAGCTTATGGATTACAATGGCTTCCCCCCAATAATGTCTCTCCCACCCGCAACCCTCCCCTTTCCCACTCCCTCTCTCCTTCCATTCACATCAAGATTCATTTTCGATTCTCTTTATATACAGAAGATCAGTTTAGCATACATTAAGTAAAGATTTCAACAGTTTGCTCCCACACAGGAACATAAAGTGAAAAATACTGTTTGAGTACTAGTTATAGCATTAAATCTCAATGTACAGCACACTAAGGACAAAGATCCTACATGAGGAGTAAGTGCACAGTGACTCCTGTTGTTGACTTAACAAATTGACACTCTTGTTTATGGCCTCAGTAATCACCCTAGGCTCTTGTCATAAGCTGCCAAGGCTATGGAAGCCCCCTGAGTTCACTGACTCTGATCATATTTAGACAAGGCCATGGTCAAAGTGGAAGTTCTCTCCTCCCTTCAGAGAAAGGTACCTCCTTCTTTGATGACCCGTTCTTTCCACTGGGATCTCACTCGTGGAGATCTTTCATTTAGGTGTTTTTTTTTTCCCCAGAGTGTCTTGGCTTTCCATGCCTGAAATACCACAGAGTATTTTTAAATAAATAATACAAACATATGTTCAAAGGTCAGAAAGTTCAAAGAATTATTCTGCAATCCCTCAGCCAGTAAATCCGTCTATTCCAGTGACAACCAGTACTATTAGGTTTTTGTGATACTTTTCAGTAATATTATATATATATATGTATATATATACATAGTTTTATATATTTAAATAAACATGTACACAGAATCATACTGCACACACTAATGCATACTTTCATTTTTTACTGAATGTATCTTAGAGATCATTTAATGTTAGTATGTAGATGGAACTTTTTAATATTTACCTAGTGTTCCATCATATGGACAGATCACAGCTCATTTAATCATCCCTCTTTTTATTGCATTAGAGCTTTTTTAATGTTTTGGTATTACAAAAATACTACAGTAAATATCTTCGCTTATATGTTAGTTTACAAATAGAAAATTTTTAATAGAGGATACATTTGAGGAGATAGAATTGCTGGGTAATTCCTTTTTAAGATTTTGATGGATATTGCAAAATTGCTTTCCGTAGATGTGCCACTTAATACTATCAACAGTGTTTGAGAGTTCCTGCACCTGCACCCTCATTAAGAAGTGTCCTTTCAAATGTTTTTGTATCTTTACCAATCCGGTAGGTAGGAAATGCTGTCTGATTATAGTATTGATAAGAGTGAGATTGACATCTATGAATTGTTTAAATGTTTGTTTTCATGGAAAAATCTGTTGCCAACTTTTTAATTAGGAATATTGGTCCTTACGTTTTCAATCTATAGGAGCCCCTTATGCATTGAATAAACTAACTTTTTGAGAGATTAGCTACATTGCTATTTCCTTTTGTCTTAGTATTTTTTCCGTGCAGTGCAGAAATGTTTGGTTTTATATGGCTGAATTCCAAAATCCATAAAGAGAAAACCTGGAATAAAAACCAGTCACTTAAAGCACAACATTCACCCTGCTTTCAGACTTTGAAGCAATTCTGTTGGTTCTTCTTTCAAAGCATATCCAGAATTCTGCTATCCTAGTTCAAACCACCATTTTTGGTTGCCTGGACTATTACAAAAGCTAATGAGTAGTCCCCCTTCTGCCTTGAATCTTCTTTATCTAGTCTGTTTTCTACATAGCAGACAGAGTGATCCTTTTAAAGTACAGCATAAATTTTGTCACTTATACTTAGAAAGCTTTAGAGGATAATTTCAAAATGAAACCCCAGATCCCTACCGTGGCCCACAAGGTTGTCTATTACCCAATCTTCTCTGACTTCATCTCCTATTACTCATTAGTCACTTTTCCACAGCTTCACTTTGACTTCTTTGCTATTTATTCAAAATGTCAAGTCAGCTCCATTGCCTTTATGGTTAACACTACTTGAAATTCTTTTCTCCAGCTATCCCATCATTCGCTCCTTCACTTTCTGTTTACATGTCACCCTTTCTCCTCAGCTTCTCCTTTTCCTCTCCTTCCTATATTTTTCTTGAGAATACACTGCATGACTCAATCAATCATCAGTTTTTTTCCCTGTGTAGGAAAAACTGCCTAATAAATTCCCTGTGGAACTGTTCTGTATTCATGCTCTCCAAAGCAGATGCCGTTAGTTACATATGGTTGTTACGCACATGAAGTGTAGCTAGGGTGACTGAGGTGTACCAAATTTTCTACCTTATGTAATTTAAATAGTCAGTAGCTACTCCACTGTATAGCACAAACCTAGAATGTTCACTGATGCAACCCAGTGCCTATGTTACAGCTGTGAAGTAAATGCTTTATAAATATCCGTTTAGTGAACGAAAGAGCAGGGATACTCACCAATCTGTTTGTCCCTGAATCCTGACTCCTTTGATCCATAATTCCAGACTGTATACTTTTCATTCATAGCCAGACATTCCCAGACATTCTAGATGTTCAACAATGATCTTTCAGATCCAGGGGTCCTCTCCACAAAGTTCATTTGTGTAACATAGATCCTGAATTACTTAAATCCCATAAATTAGACTGGAGCACACTTGGCTAAATGGATTACAGATAAGGGAAATGCAAGATGTCTATCAAAGAACTCTTCTTTAGGGAAAGCATTAAGTGAATGTAGCCTTTCCTTTTATGTTCTAGTTAGGTATCTACATAATAAATCATACTTCTCCCAAGGCTAAACAGCCCCACCCCTGCCCCTTTCCACTCCTTTATTTCCCATAACACGAGCTTGTTCAATTTTCCTAAAGGTGGTATCAATCATCATGGTTGTGAGATCATGAAATAGCCTTTTTTATTGTGTCAAAATCCTTATGGCAGTTACCTTTATAAGAAAAGTCTTATGGTTCAAAATCCTTATGGCTGTGCTCCATAATAACAGCTAAAATTTTGAAGACAAACTTGGCAGTTAAGTAGCTTCTGACAGATGCTCTTAAACCTAAACACAAAGTTTGAAATTAAGAGAAAGGATAGATAACACAGTGCTGCAATGTTTGCAAACTGTATTCCCCTGAGCTCCTTCTTGAACTGCTACAAATTCTCAATTCTGTACTGTCTATCCCCCACCTTCCTTCAGTTTTTTTTTTTTTTTTTTAACAAGCAGAGTGGACAGTGAGAGAGAGAGACAGAGAGAAAGGTCTTCCTTTGCCATTGGTTCACCTTCCAGTGGCTGCTGCAGCTGGCACGCTGCGCTGATCCGAAGCCAGGAGCCAGGTGCTTCTCCTGGTCTCCCATGCAGGTGCAGGGCCCAAGGACTTGGGCCATCCTCCACTGCACTCCTGGGCCACAGCAGAGAGCTGACCTGGAAGAGGAACAACCTGGACAGAATCCGGTGCCCCGACCGGGACTAGAACCCACTATGCCGGTGCCGCTAGGTGGAGGATTAGCCTATTGAGCCGCGGTGCCGGCCCCTTCAGTTTTTTGTTTGATGTGTTTGTGCAAAATTATTTTTAAAGGAATTTATTAATACTTTAGATTCTCTGGGTCACAGAGAATTCTCATCTTTCTAATATGTTTTCTTTAAAGATTTATTTATTTATTTTGAAAAGGCAGTGAGAGAGAGAGAGAGAGAAATCTTCCATCCCCTGGTTTACTCCCCACATGGCTGCAACAGCCAGGGAAGGACCAGGCCAAAGCTAGAATCCAGGAGCCTCCTCCAGGTCTCCCACAAGGGTGCAGGGGCCCAAACACTTGGGCCATCCTCTGCTTTTCCAGGCACATTAGCAGGGAGCTGGATTTGAAGCGGAGCAGCTGGGACCAGAAACAGTGTCCATATTAGAATGCTGGCATAACAGGTGGTGGCTTTACCAGTTATGCCACAATGCTGGCACCCATTCTCATGATAATGTGATATTAATACAAAGAGAACAGATTCAATATAGTATATGTATAAAATTCTAAGAATGTAATAATACTCCCCCTTTCCCCTCACTTCTTCTCCCTCTCTCTTTCCCTACCCACTCCCTCCCTCCCTCCTTCCTTCCTTCCACTTCCTCCCTCCCTCCCTCCCTCCTTCCTTCCATTCCCTTCCTTCCTTCCTTCCTTCCTTCCTTCCTTCCTTCCTTCCTTCGACCGGGACTATAACCCGGTGTGCCGGTGCCCCAAGGGCAAGGGTGTGAGATAACCTTTAGTTGATTTAGTGTATTTTTGATTGTGTTAAAGCTGGAGGAAGTTGGGGGGGCAATGGAGTGCTGTCTCTATAGAGTGTAGCCTCGGAAGAATATAGTCAAGGACTATAAATAATAATCAAATGAAGATACATCCATTTCATTCATATACATTCAATTTTTGAAAACTCACAGATCATCGTAACTATAGTAGTATATCTGTCTATCCATCCATCTATAAACTACCACAAATAAGAGAAAATGTGATACTTTCTTTTTGGGTCTGGCTTATTTCACTTAGCATATGATGCTCTATGCATACATTTGTTGCAAAAGTCAGAATTTCATTCTTTGTAAAAGGCTGAGTAGTATTCCTTCCTAATATATACCACATCCTCTTTATCCAGTCATCAGCTGATGGACCTGTAGGTTGGTTCCATATCTTAGCTATTGTGAATTGAGCTGTTATAAACATGGGACTGCAGGTACTTTTTCATATGCTGCCTGCTTTCATTTCCTTTGGGTGTTTCCCCAGGAGTGGGATAGCTGAGCTCTGTCCTGAGCATGAGCAGAACTTTTAAGATCCACAATCAGACCAACACATGCAGGAACCCAGCCATAACTCATGTCCTTCTCAGGTCTCTACCTGTGCCCAGCAGTCTCACAGTTGCAGGGTGAAGGGGTTCTGCTCTCCACCCTGCAAGCTGCACTGTTCCAGCACAAGATGCCCACCATTTCACAGGTCAGAATAGAGATGACTGCAGCTCTACTTCAGCAAACTGAGCCTGACACTTTGGTGGGAGGAGGGGAGAGAAGCAATGTGGTCTCCCTTCATGGAGTAATATAGCTGCTCAGCATCCCGCCCTCTCCCCACCCTGACCTGTTAACCAAGCTGGACCCAAAGCCAGTGAGGACCATGGAATTCTCCCTCAGTCAAAGCTGCCCACTGTTGTAGGCTGTGGCAGCCTCCTCTCACCTTGCCTGGGAAGCTGGTACTTCCCAGCCAGGTGCCAGCTGTGAATATGCATGAGTTGCTGGTGTTGTTTGACAAGCGACCAGTGACCGGTGACTGTATCTGTTCTCTCTCACTGCTCCTCAGAGTGTTTGTCCTGTTGTGTCTGTTCTTCAGTGGAAATCTCTCTCCATCTGTCCCCTAGGAACTTGCATTTCTTTGTTTTTCTGGAATCTCTCCATGGGCTGAAGTCAGTTTGACTTCTCCCTATTCAACCATCTTGTATCTCCCCATGCAAAATTATTTTATTTGACAAATAGCTCAACTTTGACGTTTGAAAATCGCTTCTTCAAGACTTTTTCATTTACTAATTATCTCATCAATTAATTAATTAATATTACTGGAAGACTTATGAAAGAAACCAGATGCCAGTGAGTTCAGCGTTGGATTTTTGGATAGAAGTGTAATCAGTATCCCTGATTCAAGAGTGATGCATTTGGTTTGAATACTATGAGTTTAGGTAATGAAGTTGGCAATGTTATGAAAAATTAATGCATGGGACATGTATTCTATTGGGTCTCATAGGCCCCTATGAGGGCCTTGCAAATAAGTTTTGGTTTATCTAAGTTAAGCAAAACTTGTTTTCTAATTAGCAGGAGAACAGAGATCCACAACAAGCTTTTCGGCTATGGCTTAAAAAAAAACATGAAGAGCAGATGAAAGAAAGAAAGACAGAAGAGCTGAGAAAGCAAGAGGAATGCTTATTCTTTCTTAAAGGAACAGAAGGCCGTGAGAAGGCCTTTAAACAGTAAGTTAAAATCAGAGCATTTTTCAAACCCTTCCTTAAAGTCATTTTAGAAAGTTTTATCACCAAAAAGGGTTGGAAAAAAATACTACATATTTTATCTCTTTCAGTATATATCTGTTGAATTTCAAATGCATGCTTTTCAAAAGGTGTAATTCATTTATTTATTTTAATTTATTTGAAAGATGTATAGAGAGAGAGAGAGAAGGAGAGACAGAGAGAAAGGTCTTCCATCTGCTGGTTCACTCCTGAAATTGCCACATGGCCAGTTCTGGGCCAGGCCGAAGCCAGGAGACAGAAGCTTCTTATTCCAGGTCTCCCACATGGGTATAGGGGCCCATGCACTTGGGTCATCCTCCTCAGCTTTCCCATGTGCATTAGCAGGGAGCTGGATAGGAAGTGGAGCATCCAGGATTAGCACTGGCACCCATATGGGATGTTGGTGTCACAGGCAGCAGCTTTCCCACTAGGCCACAATGCCAGCCCCCAAAATGTTTAATCCTTTAACTTCATAGCTTACATTTCTATCTATACCATTCTTCCTTCAAGTTAATTTTCAATGTTAAAATTATTTCTTATGACACCCATGTGATAGCCTTTGATACCTTATCATTTAATTTACTGTTTAGTTATTTCTTACAGAAATAGAACTAAGACCTGTTATGGTTTTTCCTATATATCCCTCAGAAAATCTGAATAAAGAGTTGTATTTGCCAATACATGTTTTTCTGTAAGGAAAAGGAGGTGGGCTGGGGAGGAGAATCTATATAGAAAGTGAAAAAGGAATATTGGTGCATACTTTGGTAATTTGATTTAAAATTGAACATTTTTTCCAGTTATCTGGGTAAGACTGCATTACCTTGCTAACTCTTGAGAATTTAGAACTGCTTCATAATTTTGCTAGCAGGCCTTGGGGCCAGTGGTCAGAGTGAATACTCAGTCCTATTGTTTGGAATTCATTCTTCCATTCCTCCCTCCCTCTCTTCCTCTCTTATTCTCTTTCTCCTTTCCTCCCATTCAACCTTCTCTTCCTTCTTCCTTCATTTCTTTTCTTTATGTCTCTTAAATAAACTAAAACCTTTTATAACATAAACAGTAAACGTGCATGATGGAAATTGAAGAACTTAAGATCACATTTTCATTATCCCAAAATTATGACTGCTAGTACCAGAGAGAATGTTTTCTATATGTATTTTACATATATTTATAATTTTAAAGTATAAATTGAGGGGCTGCTGTTGTGGCATAGCATATTGGGCTGCTGCCTGCAGTGCTGGTTCGAGACCCAGCTGTTCCACTATCCAGCTCCCCACCAATGTGCCTGGGAAAGCAGTAAAAGATAGATGGCCCAAGCTCCTGGTTCCTGGCTTCGGCCTGGCCCAGCCTTGGCCGTTGTGGCCACCTGGGGGGTAAACCAGTAGATGGAAGATCTCTGTGTCTCCCTCTCTCTGTGACTCTGCCTTTCAAATATATATATATATATATGTATATAAATTAAGATCATATTGTATGTACTGTACTGCAATCTGATTATTTTCATTAATGTTCTGAATCTAATATACAACCCATTTGCATTTTTATCCCTCACTAACCTATAAATGACTTTATTTAAGCTAGTATCTAATTCAGGAACATAAAGCATTCTGACGTTTCTTAAATCTATGCTATTCTAATGAAGTTATTTGTTTATATATGAAGAAATCCTTATATTTATGTGTATAAGTACACACACATATATATGAATACCAGATTATGGGTGTATTCAATTATTTTTATGTAATTTTAATTAAGAAAGCTTAATTTGTATGACTTTGTAGATTGTGAACTGTTCCTTTGATATTTTCGTGCTTTAGGGCTATTTTTCCATTTAAAGGAAGAACTATTGTATGAACTGAGGAACAAGAGATCTATAATTTCCCTACTGGGAAGAATAAGGCAGCATATCTGCATCCTAGTTTTCTTTTTCATTTTTTTCATTCTTTATTTTTGAGATAACATGCTCTTAATTTACATTATAGTAAAAGGCTTAATGCTCCACTCAATACATGCTAGCATTCTTAACCTGGGTAACTAAAGTTTTAGAATATAGCTAGTTGCAAAGGATTTGTTATTTGGAATGTATAGTTGTTTAAAAAAGCACATTTCCAAAAAAAGACAGGACCTACAGTACATGTAAAATCCTGCATTTATTACGAAAATGTCAATTGAATTGGCAATTTCACCATACAGTAAGCTTAATTTCAAGCATTTGATCCTAGATACAACTATACTTTCTTGTAAAAGCCTGAGATTTCTCACCTGGAAATACTGTCACAATATAAATTATCAAAATACTAACTGAGAAATATGACAGTATTTCTATGTGAGAAATATCAATTTCCTTTAATTGTCTATAGACAGCTAAACATATAAGTAGCATAAAAAGTATATTCAGGTTGATACTGCATCTGATTATTCTTCTTCCTGCAGATGGCTAAGAAGGAAACGGATAGAAAAAATAGCAGAGCAACAAGCAGTCAAAGAAAGAACTAGACAGCTCCGCCTAGAAGCAAAGCGTTCTAGACAATTACAGAACCACCTGTATAGTATGTCAGAAGCCAAATCTTTTCGTTTTACTGATCATTACAACTGAAGGTATCTATCTATGAAACAGTTCATGTGGCAGCTGCTATCATCAGGATTTTGTATATCATTTCTTATGGCCTAAGTGCTTTGGTCATACTCTAAATTATGGAAATGATATTTATCTTTTGGTGTTGACAGTGAATTTATGGCTTTTAAGAAACTCTAGAACAAAAAAATAAACATGTCATTTTACAGTGTTGGAATGTGTTGTGCCATCTCTTAGTCTGTGCAACCAACTGGACAACAAATGATCTCTCTGTTCTACTTCTGAATTATTGTATTAAGATTTCTACCTAGAAAGAACATAAGAAAGGGACAGATTTCCATTGATAGTTCCTATTATCACAGCAGTTGCAGCAGAACATTTCATAAGGCAAGAGGAATGACTTCTTAAACAAGCCTGGTTCAAAGCCTTATACAAAGTCCTGTTTGTATCAACTTTGAATTCAAATAGATGTGGCAAGCTAACCAATAGAATACGCATAATTCTACCTGTTAGTATGAAAGAGAGGAGAGAAATATGAACAGGTATACAAATTACTATTTTAGGTATGTTACAAAATTAGCCAAGTTTTATTGAGAGTTTATAATGTGCCTGGTATGATTGTAAATAGTTTGCATAAATAATATAATCATAAGACTACACTATTAATCTTGGTTTGTACTTGAGGAAACTAGTATATGATTAAAGGTGCAAGCAGTTCATTTACATAGACTCTGATCTGTATGGTTGCAGGATCCATTGTTTTAGTTATATTATAAAGCTTAACTACCTTGGTAGAAATATATGAAGGTAGTTAAGGAATCCAGTGTGTGTAAATACTCCCTTTGTTATGCCTAGCAGCATGCAGTGGGTAGAGATCAAAGATAAACAGACAGTGTGATGGAGGGTAGAGTCACTGTGAGAGTTCCGTTAAAGATTCAGAAGAGAAGGTTCTTATCAACTGAGTATTTTTGCTTTAATCACTTGACAATAAATTAGAAGGGCAGAGAAGTACTTATGCTATCTCAATTTCTTATAGCACTTTGAGCATGCACAAGGCAATTAACATCTTCTTATAAATGATCTTATGTTGTTTTAAATTATCCTTATGGAAAAGAGCCAATTTGTTAAAATACATATCACAGAACACTGAATGTAGTACTGAACATTTATCTGTAGCTATTACAATGTCAGAAAGCACTGAAAGCTGCAGAACTGAGAATAGAGGGACTACAAAATTCCAATATTTGACTAATGAGTAAGAATATATATAAAACAGTTTAAAGTCCCCATCTGTCCTTATCTGGAGTGAATTTTGTTTTACTGAATTTTCTGAGGAAATATTTTGGACTTAGAAACCAGTGGCAAGGGACCAGTGTTGTGGCCTAGTGGGTAAAGCCACCACCTGCAACACCAGCATCCCATAAGGGTGCCAGTAGCTGTTCGAGCTGTTTCACTTCTGATCCATCTTCCTTCATAGGTCTGGAAAAGCAGAAGAATATGGCCCAATATTCTGTCACCCATGTGGGAGACCTAAAAAGAGCTCCTGACTCTTGGCTCTTGGCTTTGAACTGGCCCAGCGCCCTCAGTTGTGACCATCTGTGGAGTGAACCAGCAGATGGGAGGTCTCTCTCTCTCTTTCTGTTTATTTCTCTCTATGTAAATATTACTTTCAAAATGCATAAATAACTCTCTTTTTTTTAAAGGAAGAGGTAGGAAAAACCCAGTCTTAGGAAAACTTAGGAAGCCTTTTGAATCCACAAACTCTGTCAGTATTTAGACAAGCCATAAGCAAAGTGGAAGTTCTTTCCTCCCTCCAGAGAATAGTACATCCTTCTTTGATGGCCCCTTCTTTCCACTGTTCTCACTCACTGAGATCCTTCATGTAGGACAGTTTTTGCCTCAGTGTCTTGGCTTTCCATGCGTGAAATGCTTTTGTGGGCTTTTCAGCCAGACCAGAATGCCTTGAGGGCTGATTCTGAGGTCAGAGTGCTATTTAAAGTGATTGTATTTTTATGAGAGAGGGAGAGGGAGAGGTGTCTTTCATCCACTGGTTTACTCCCTAGTTGGCCGGCCACAATGGCCACAATGGCCAGAGCTGCGCTGATCGAAGCCAGGACCAGGAGCTTCCTCTGGGTCTTCCATGCAGGTGGAAGGGCCCAAGGACTTGGGCCATCTTCCACTGCTTTCCCTGGCTATTGCAGAGAGCTGGATCAGAAGTGGAGAAGCCAGGACTCGAAGCAGCACCTATGTGGGATGCCAGCACTGCAGGCGACAACTTTACCCACTACATCATAGCACCAGCCCCTCTCATTGTGATTTTGATTTGCATTTCCCTCATGGCTAGTGATCCAGAACATTTTTTTCATGTGTCTGTTGGCCATTTGGATTTCCTCTTTTGACAAATGTCTGTTTAAGTCCTTTGCCCATCTCCTAACTGGGTTGATTGTTGTTGTGGAGTTTCTTGATCTATTTATATATTCTGGTTATTGATCTTTTATATGCTGCATAATTTTCAAATAATTTCTCCTATTCTGTCAGTTGCGTTTTCACTTTCCTGTTTCTTTAGCAGTACAGAAGCTTCTCAATTTTGTGTAATCTCATTTGTGACTTTTGGTTTTGATGCCTGTGCCTCTGGGGTCTTTTCCAAGAAATCTTTACCTATGCCAATATCTTGCAGGGTTTCCCCAACGTTCTCTAATAATTTGATGGTGTTGGGTCATAAATTTAGATCTTTAACCAATTTTGAGTGGATTTTTGTGTAAAGTGTAAGGTAGGAGTCTTGCTTCATACTTCTGAATGTAGAAATCCAGTTTTCCCAGCACCATTTGTTTAAGAGACTGTCCTTGCTCCAGGGATTGATTTTAGGTCCTATGTCAAATATAAATTGAATGCACATGCTTGGATTGATTTCTGGCATTTCTATTCTGTTCCATTGGCCTATCCATCTGTTTTTGTAAAAGTGCTAGGCTGTTTTGATTATAACTGCCTTGTAATATGTTTTGAAATCTGGTATTGTGATGTCTCCACCTTTGTTTTTGTTGTGTAAGATTGCTTTAGCTATTCGAGGTCTCCTGTGCCTCCATATGAATTTCAGCATCATTTTTATATATCCGAGAAGATCGTCCTTGGTATTTGATTGGTTTTGTGTTGAATCTATAAATTGCTTTTGGAAATATGGACATTTTGATGACATTGATTCTTCCAATCCATGAACATGGAAGATTTTTCAAATTTTTCTATCTTCTTCTACTTCTTTTTTTAATGTTTTATAATTCACATCATAGAGATCTTTGATATCCTTAGTTAAATTTTTTCCAAGGTATTTGATTTTTTTTGTAGCTATTATGAATGGGCTTGATCTCAGAAGTTCTTTCTTAGCTGTTACATTGTCTGTGTTTACAAAGGCTGTTGATTTTTGTGCATTGATTTTATATCCTGCTACTTTGCCAAACTCTTCTATGAGTTTCAGTAGTTTCTTAGTGGAGTATTTTGGATCCTGTACATATAGAATCATGTCATCTGCAAATAGGGATAGTTTGACTTCCTCCTTCCTAATTTGTATCCCTTTAATTTCTTTTTCTTGCCTGATGGCTCTGGATAAAACTTTCAGGACTATATTGAATAGCAATGGTGAGAGTGGGCATCTGAGTCTGGTACTGGATCTCAGTGGGGATGTTTCCAAGTTTCCCCCATTCAATATGACACTGGCCATCAGTTTGTCATAAATTGTCTTGTGTTGAGGAATGTTCCTTCTATAATCAATTTGCTTAGGTTTTCATCATGAAAGGATGTTGTATTTTAGCAATTGCTTTCTCCGCATCTATTGAGATAATCATATGGTTTTTGTTCTTCTGTTTGTTAATGTTATGTATCACATTGATTGATTTGCAAATGTTGAATTATCCCTGAATACCAGGGATAAATCCCAATTGGTCTGGGTGAATTTTCTTTCTGATGCATTGTTGGATTCAATTGGCTAGAATTTTGTTGACAATTTTTGCATCTATGTTCATCAGGGAAAATGGTCTGTAGTTCTCTTTCTCACTGCATCTTTTTCGGATTTAGGAAGTAAGGTGATGCTGGCTTCACAGAAAGAACTTGGGAGGATTTCTTCTGTTTTAATTGTTTTGAATAACTTGAGAAGAATTGGAGTTAGTTCTTATTTAAATGTCTGGTAGAATTCAGCCATGAAGCCATCCAGTTCTGGGCTTTTCTTTATTGGGAGGGCCTTTATTACTGATTCAATTTCTATCATGGTTGTTGGTCTGTTTAGGTTTTCTATGTCTTCATGGCTCAGTTTTGGTAGTTTTTATGTGTCCAGGAATCTATCCATTTCTTCTAGGTTTCCCAGTTTGTTGGCATTCAGCTCTTTGTAGTAATTTCTGATGATTCTTTTATTTCTGTGGTGTCTTATGTTACACTTCATTTTTCATCTCTGATTTTGGTAATTTATGTCTTCTCTTCTTTTTTTGGTTAGTTGGGCCAATGGTGTATCAACTTTGTTTATTTTTTCAAAAAAACCAGCTCTTCATTTTGCTGATTTTTTGTATTTTTTTGTTTCAAATTTGTTGATTTCTTCTCTAATTTTAAGTATTTCTTTTCTCCTACCAGTTTTGGGTTTGGTTTGCCATTGTTTTTCTAGATCCTTGAGACGCATTGATAGGTCGTTTATTTGATGCTTTCCTATTTCTTGATATAGGCACCAATTGTTATAAACTTTCCTCTTAACCCCACTTTTGCTGTATCCCCTAAGTTTTGATATGTTGTAGTATCATCTTCATTTGTTTCCACAGATTTTTAAATTTCTTTTATGACCCACTGTTCATTCAGGAGCATGTTGTTCAGTCTCTATGTGTTTACATATGTTCTAGAGATTCCTGAGTTGCTGATTTCAAGTTTCATTCCATTGTGGTATGAGAAGATGCATGATATGATGTTCTCTACTTGATCCCTGATGACTACTCTATGACCCATTTAAATGCAATCATACAATAATTGTCCTTTTTGTGTGTATTTTGTTTATCGTAATGTTATAAAGCGTCATCTGTGATGTAACTTGCTTTAACATTTCATTCATTTTAAAGGCTGAACAATACTCCTTTGCAGGTATATACCATATTTTGCTTATCCATTCTTCCATCAGTGGACACTTGGATTATATCCACCTTTTGGCTAGTATATGTATTGTTGCTAAGAACACTGGTATAGAAA